GTCCCTGAAGACTGGAAGAGGGCCAATGTTGTGCCCATCTACAAGAAGGGCAGGAGGGAGGACCTGGGTAACTATAGCCAATCAGCCTAACTTCCATCCTAGGAAAATCCTAGAAAAGTTCATCAAGGAGTCTATCTGCAATAAGCTTGCGGAAGGTAAGATTCTGAATGACAGCCAGCATGGCTTCATCACAGGCAGGTCTTGCCTTACCAACCTCATCTATTTCTATGACCAGGTAACTCGCCACCTGGACACAAGAGACCAGGATGACATTGTATACCTTGACTTCCAAAAGAACTTTGCTCTAGTATCCCACAATGTTCTCATGAGAAAAGTGGAGGATTGTAGGCTTAACTCCAAGACAGTCAGGTGGCTGAGAACCTGGCTGCAGGATAGGACCCAGAGTCATAGTGAACGGATCTGTGTCATCCTGGCGAGAAGTGGGCAGCAGTGTCCCATAGGGGTCGGTGCTTGGTCCAGTACTTTTCAACATCTTTATTAACGCTTTGGATGTGGGAGTGAAGAGCTCACTGGCCAAGTTTGCAGACGACACCAAGTTATTGGGAAGCATGGTCATGCTTGAAGATAGGCTACAGATACAGACAGACCTAGACAGGCTAGCAAGTTGGGCATATCAGAATTTAATGAAGTTCAAAATCGAGAAATGTAAAGTGCTCCACCTTGGGACAAGCAACCCCTAACACACCTACAGGCTTGGTGGCACCAAACTGACTTGCACCACAAATGAAAAGGACCTGGGGGTAATAAAAGAGCACAGCATGAACATGAGCTGGCAGTACAATGCTGCAGCCAGTAAGGCAAATAATACTCTGGCATGCATCAATTGATGCATCTCCAGCAAAACCAAGAAGGTGATTCTTCTGTTCTGCTCAGCACTGGTGAGACCGCAGCCGGAGTACTGCATCCAGTTCTGGGCACCACACTTTAACAAGAACATGGACAAGCTTGAGAGAGTCCAAAGAAGAGCTACCAGTATGATCATTCTCTTACACAGCTGAGGGATCTGGGACTCTTCAGCCTGAAGAAAAGACGATTGAGAGGGGACCTGGTAGCAGCTTACTGCTACATTAGGGGAGTAAGTCAAGGGCTCAGTGAGCAACTGTTCACCAGGGCACCTGAGGGCAAAACTAGGAGTAATGGCCACGAACTCCTGGAAGACCGATTCAGGCTCAACAACAGGAAAATCTTCACAGTCAGGGTGTCCAAACTGTGGAATAAGCTCCCTCCAGAGGTGGTGCAATCACCTACCTTGGAAATCTTCAAGAGGAGACTAGACCAGGGGTAGGCAACGGTTCTTTGGCCAGAGTGCCGAAAAAAATCACAATGTCTTCCTTGGAAGGAGTCGGAGTGCCTACATGCCGGAGCACAGAACAGCTGTCTGCAGCCTCCTGGCTGTAGCCAGCCCACGGAGGCCAGTCTGCTTGCAGCAGGGCTTACAGCCTCCCAGCTGCCTGCTGGGAGCAGCCTGGGCTCCATGGCTCCCAGCTGCTTTGAGCCTGGGCTGGTGGTGGTGTGCTGGCAAAATGGTCTTGAGTGCCATGCTTGGCATGTGTGCCAGGGGTTGCTGAGCCCTGGACTAGACAGTCATCTTGCTGGGGTCACCTAACCCTCAGTTATCTTTCCTGATGGGTACCAAGGGTTGGACCTGATGATCTTCCAAGGTCCCTTCCGGCCTTACAATCTATGAATCTTCTACAGATATTCTCTCACAGACTTATTTGCATAACACTGAAAGTGGACTACCAACTATTCTTTCGTGGTAAGCTTTTCAAATGACTGATAGAAACCAGAAGTCGGGTAAGTGCATGTAAAATGTTATGTTACTGCTTCCCATCTCAGACTGTCCTTTATCTCCAGGGAATTAAACCGAGGTGAATTTTAGGATAGATTATATACAAAGAGTTTGAAACATTCACATCTGTTCCTCCAAGTTCTCCTAATACACCAGTGTTTCTACTCTCTCTCATTTCACCTCACCCTCCACTCTCTGGCCCTCTCATTACATTTCTGCATTTCTGTAGATTGTCCTGCAATATTATTTTTGTCAATTTCTCTCCTCTGCCTTTGTGGAGCCTTCATTTTTTACCCTCTCTCTCACTTAGTAATGTCATCAGCACTTGTAGACAAGTTGCCAGAACAAGTAATAATTTGGGATTTGTTTTAATCTTTCCTATAAATTCTATAAAATTTATTGTTTTTTGGTGCAGATTAACACAGAAGCCTCATCATCTCATTATGCCTATGCAACACCAATAAAATTGTAGCAATTATGATGAGATGACCCAGGAAGGAGTTAAGATGAATATCAAAACTGCCAAACATCTTCATGTAGGCACAGACCTTGAATAGAGAAACTTGAACTGCCTACACTCAGGGGTCAGTAAGACTAAAAACACATTATCTGTGGCAATACTCTAAATGCAAACATCACTTACAAATATGGGAGACTATAAAACATCAACTGGTCTGCCCACATATAGTGGAACCATGCACTAATGAGGACCTCGCTAAGGCTATTGATCAACCAATAGCATGTGCCCATTTTGGACTGAAATTTGAACATGACAGGACATGAAACGATCATCTAAGGGGAGGAAGTCTAGCACTCTCACTGTTCATAGCAGCAAATTTCCTTGAACCCTGATCAATGCATCATTAAAAAACAGCCGTTTCTCTCATGCTCCTCCTTACCCCTCCTCTCTATTACAACATAGAAGCTATCAAGCTTCCTGTAAAGAGCCCTTCTCACTGGCTCCTAAACCCAGCTATAAAGTCAAATGTCTGCAACCAGAAAGTTGGGTTCTTTCAAGGGTGGAAAAAAGTGTATTAAAAAAGTAATCAGTATTTAAAACTATAGTGAAATAAAACTTCAAACTTTATAGCTACAATTAGAGAGTAACACAAAGTGTTAAGCTGCTGTCAAGTTTCTCTGTTTGTTTCCAGTACCCAGAGGACTTAAAATCTTTCATTTGAAAAATATAAAAATTCTTGTCAATTTTCCAATGCAGACTATAGCTATAAAGCAACTGCTATTCTGCTATTTAAATACAATTCCCACATGTGGATAGCCCCTCAAATTTTAGTCCTTTGAAATACAAACTACTGAAGCGTGCTTCTGAATCTCAAATAGCATGAGAACCAAGAGGATATGAACTAATAAGTGTCAACTCTGAAAACATAACTGGAACGTCCAGATTAATTGTTCAATTTCTAACTGTTTTAACAGAAGAAATGTTTACCTATCGCTACTGGATGCACAAGTTGACATAAAACCAGAAAAGGACTGAGAAGAGGGAAAAAACATTAACAGAAACATTTAGGAAGAATTTTTTTTTTTGCTATAACAGCTGCTTCACTCTCCCCCACTTCTCACTCCTTTTCCTTGCCAACTGTGTCCCTGCTCAAGCAAGAAGCCTTTAGATTCTTCTCATGCTTACCTGGCATTTAAATCTGAATTACTGCTTCCTCTGAGAGCTCTGCTTTTCCTGCTTCAGAATACTGGAGGTTATGGGAGGGGAGGAAGAGCTCTCTTCTCTTTGTGTTTGGAGGTAGAAGAGACTGAAGCAGGCACTGGATTGCAGTTCTAGCAGCAAGAGGCAGAAGAGAGAGTGTGCGCTCCTTCCCTGCCCCCTCCTTCCCTCAAGACCAAATGATTCTGCAAGTCTCTTCCCCAAAGTTTGTGGGGTATAACACATGAACACCTTCTCATGACCCACCAAAGGGTTGTGCCCAAACACTCTCTCATAACCCACCAATGAAGTACTGTTCTAAAAACAGCTAGACAAGAAAGGAATGTTCCATACACTATACTGCCCATTCCATGTTTTTAAGAAATTAACTATCCGTCAACAAAACTGCTAAAGTTATGACTAAAAAAGTTTCCTACAATGTTGATAGAGAAAATATTTAATGAACTACACAAGAAACCTTTTAAAATAGAAAGCATTTTTCTCTGCACCAAACAAAAAGGAGTGTGTTGTTGTAACAGACCATTTAGCAAGTGGGAGAGTTTACTCTGTACATTTTAACCACAGAAATAGATTATAAATAAGATGAATTTGACGTTTACCAATTAGACTACATTTTGTTACAATTTAATAGCTACACACTAAGGCTGTGCAAAGCTTTGGTCGCTGTTATGACTCGACGGAGATTTGGCCCGATTCAGTGGCCGAATCTCCAAATTTGAATCGAATCAGGAGACCGTTTAATCTCTCCAAGTGGAATTGGAACCCTCCAAATCAATTCGGAGAGATTTGATGATTTGGACATAAACACACCTTTAAATGTTTTTGCTATATACCTCAAGGCACCAGGCAGCTTGTGAATAGTGAGATGGCGGGGCAGATGGAGTGTCCCATGGGAGTGCGGCAAGGGAGGGGAAAGAGTCACCAGCATGCTTGGCGGCAGACCCAGTGGACCAAAAGCTCTTCTGGTCTGCTTTCGGGTCTGCTGCAGAGCATGCATTGGACACCGCCTTCTCCTCCCGGCTCAGTGACTGGTGCGCCTCCTGGGTCTGGGGGGGCACCCAGAGTCCCCCCATAGCCGACTGCCGAGCTGGGGGGGATGGAAGGGTCCCCTGCACACTCGACAGTGGATCTGGAAGTGGGTCTGCTGCTAAGCATGCAGGGGACCACCCTGCACTCCTGTGGGATGCTCCATTCACCCCACCATCTCAGCGTTCACAAGCCGCACCTGATACCTCAGAGTATGTAGAAAAAACATTTAAACTTGTGTCTATGGCCAAATCGCTGAATCTCCAAATCAGCACTGAATCGTCAGATTTGGATTTGGCCGAATCGAATCAGGACAGTGATCTGAATCAATGAATTGAATCACTGTCTGCCGATTCAGGTCGAATCCCAATCGAAAATGGCCTGTTTCGCACACCCTTACCTTACTACACATTTTTTTAAAAATCATACATGAACAATAAGTCTACATGAACTATAAATAAAACTTACAAAAAAAAAGTTTACCAAAGTTTTCCAAAGGTCGGCTATTTGTTGGGAAAACGGTTCCTGGAATTGATGTTGAAGCAAGGAGAAAAGTTTCTATTTCAGCTTCAGCTTCACAAGACATGAAGGGAATGCTGGAAAATTAAAGAACATTTAAACAATGATTTATGAGTAGTTTTGGAAATAAGGCACTATAGTGTCATTTAATACGCTAAGGAAATAGTATTAGGTTTCACCATATAGCAAATGGAATATCTGGCCTAGCCAGGACTGCCTGATAAACAGACAAGACAGTAAAAGCTGATAAATAAGCTCTTCTTCAGAAAACATTTTTTCCAAGGATTCTTCTTTACCACCAGACAGATTAAGATTTATCTCACTATATATTTCTGATAAAAAACGTAACAAACCTGCAGTAGGGTTTGGGAAAGACAATCTAGAGTCCTGCTGTGGTGCTCTGAAGTTATCCCATATTTTTATCTTAGGCTGAAGCAGGGACTTATTCTGAGGCACATTTGACTAGATAGTCATTGGTTATGGGTGACTGGTGCCTCCCGAGTCTGAGGGGGGCACCAGATAGCCAATGGGAAGGAAGGGGTGATCCCCCAGTCAATCGCAGACGGGGGGGTTCCCCCAGCAGCAGATCACCAAGCACAGAACCACCAGCGATGAAACTTCCACTGGCACTTCCAGTTTCGCACAGCTGACGCTTCCAGGGGGCACATGACCAATCTCAGGGGGGTGCACATACACCCGCTTGCACCCCCTTACGCATTGTCCATTGTCCGCATTACTGTGTACTTTGCTGTCATTGGTCAGACAGCAAAGTATTGCCTGAGGATCTTGCTCCATTGCATCATAAAACTGACACATAAGGAATATTCACTGTTAAATGCAGTAAGGCAAAGTGGACAGAAAAGAAGAGCCATGACAAAAACCTGAATTTTAAACCAAGCTCTTTTATTAGCTTGCCAGGTGACTTTCAGCAATTATTTCCTTCTCCATTTCTCAGTTTCCTCATCTTTAAAACTGGTCCAAGCACATTTTGATCTCTCTTGTAAAAGGAGGTAATTGTGATATTATCAGTGTTCTGAAATCTGCTTGAGGTGATTGTAAATGCAGCACAAGGTGATTTTCACTGATACAACCTCAATGAAATGTGGCTTAATCTAATTAATAACATATGGAACCACACAATAATAAAAAATTTGTCAAAATGACTTAAAACATTTAAAAGTTGATTTTATTTAACTCTCTCCTGTAAGTTTATTTTTTTAATTAAACATAAAACAATGACAAACATTTTTATTCTAATTTAAAATTAATATGAACTTAAAAAATATTAAAAAAGGGAATATATTTTCTACCCACTAAGTCAACCCACTGACCTGGTGAAATCACTGGCTGAACACCTATAACCACAACTCCAACAACATTAAATCAACTTTAGACAGCAGAAGCCTTTACTGCAGGTTCAGAGAATGTTTTATGTCAGTTTGCTTAGTTTAAATAAGTTTATTAAAAATTAAGAAACATATTAGAGGTTGAAAAAGCTGGAAATTTTTTTTTTCCAGGGTTGGTGTGCGTAACCAAAACATAAATTCTATAGAGTAACCGATTCCAGATTTCACTCTGTAATAAATTTATTGCATAGTGTGAAACACATGGCCACGTCTTCTCAAGCTGCTACCCACAGTAGGCAGTATTATTACACAGCCCCACTGTTAGATGATATGAGGCTGTTTATAGATCTTTTGTATAGAGATCCCTAGGTGGCAAATAGCCACCTAGGGATGAAACTGACCTGGGGAAGGGAGTAGACATTTTCTCCCAGGAAGTCACCACCAAGTGAAGTTACTACTGGTTTCCCCCCACCACCCCGAGTAACCTTATCCTGGAAAGAGATACTCCACAGTACGTTGTGCCTTGTACGTGCGCTCCATTCTTACTACCGAGTAATCATGTGTGGTGTCCAACACTCAAGTAATAAAAACTAGATCTAAGACAGTGAAATGTACCAGTTCAAATATGAATGAATATTTTGATGGTTGCTAAATTATACTAGAAATAAGGTAGATATTAAATCAGTTGAGCCCATGATAGCTCCTTTCTTTATTTGTATTTTATGTGTTACAAGATTTACATTTTCTCTAGGGATGCAAATAATGATTAAGTACCCGTTTAAACTCCCATAATGTTACTGGTTAAAATGGTTAACCGGTAACATGCATCTACAAGGGACTGGCCCAAAAGTCCAAAAAGGCTGAGAACTGCTGATCTAGAGTGATGTATCCCCTATATTAGCCTTCCTGGCATCCAGCATTATTGGTTTACACATGCCAAAGGAAACATCCCCAATCTTTGTGTTCAACAGCTATTAATAGATTTATTGTCCGTAAATTTGTCTAGTCCCTTTTTAACCTGGCTATGCCATCTGCCTCTACCACCTCCTGTGGCAATGAATTCCACAAGTTAACTATGTATTGCATAAAAACATTTAAATATGGTGAAAAATTGCAATCACTTAAATAATGCAAAGCACTTTCCAGGGTTGTTAGTCTGAATATGTACAACAGATTCAGAATTCAGTATATGGCAAGGTTAACATGCTGATACATAAGAGCAGCAATTACGAGTCTTTACAATAATAAATATAAAAAAGGTCTTAATCTCCATAAAACCAGAGTTCAACATGCTGTTAAACCAGAAAATTATGAGGACATAAATTTTAGTTTTATGTTTATAGTTAATAATATTAAACCTAAAAAGCAATTTGATCCCAAATCTGATTTTAAACCCGGCAATTCCCATTTAACCACTTTAAAGCACAACCAGTTTGGATAAACTTCATTTACCTTTCAACTCTAGCTCGCGCAGAAGACCATAACAATTCCATTTCTTGTCTCTTCTGCCTTATCATTGCATTAATTTCTGTAAGTTCTGTACTGAAAGATAAATTTCAAAACATATTTAAATAAGTTTATGTAATGATGTTTTGCACCTTTAGCAATCAACATATTAAAAGGCATTTTCACCAAATTACGTTGTAACACTTTCAGATGGCATCATCTGATTTCTCTAAATGTTCCACTAAGTAAGAATATCCCACAACTACACAATAAATTTATGACAGATGAGGAGTTACTGAAGTGTCATAAAGATGGTATTTTTGACCTTTTGTCCAGATTAAATAGATACAACTGAAGCTATGATTTTCCATATTACAGTTCAGAGGTCATGGTAGAACTGTATTCATGAACTTCCTAGAATGAGTCATGTATCAGCAGTTGTTCACTCCCTTTAGGGAGGCTTTCAAATGTGCAACTTTGAGAAAAGGTCCATGAGGAAGCTAAAAACTGAAGAAACTGAATAAACCTGGAAAAATTCACACTGATATACATAGGACAAGTAAATTTATTCCCTATAATACAAGATATAAATACCATTTTAGGTTCTATATTATTGAATTAATATTCTTTAAGGCATTAATTATTTTTCTATCACTTTAGACTTCTGTATTTCATGGTCCCAAATGTTTCCTTCCCCTAACCCCACTCTTCCCAAATCTTGAGTCATGTGTGTTTTTATTAATGATTTATTTAAATATACTAATTCAACTTGGCAAGGGTGGTTCAGGCAAAGACAATTATTTCTCACTGAGTTGAGTAAAACAATCAAAGAAGATTCTCCCTCCTACATAGCAACCTAAATTCCTGCACTTCTCTTTTTCTGGCCCTTTCCTAAGTATTTAAGGCCTGAATTCATCCAGTTAAGCACTTAAACACATGCTTGTATTTCAAATATGTGGTTAAATCCCATAAAAGCCCAGACTTGGGCAGACAATCAGGTAGTATTCTGAACAGAGATGACTGGTGAAAAGAAAACAGTTTGCGATATTAATGGTTAACATTTTCAAGGATAACCACAGGCCTTTGCTTGGCAGTGAGCAAAGAAAAAGTTGAAAGTTTTTCAAAGTGTTTTCAGGTAATGATACATACATGGAGGTATAATTTAAGTAAGTATGATATCTACAATGCTAAAATGCAACTAATTGCAGGCAAAGCATTAGCATATACTAACCAGTCACTTCTATAACCAGAAAAAGATTCTCCAGTGCGAATACTGGACGGAATTTTACTGTAGAAATGATTTCTGAAATGCTCACTTGAGCAGGTCTGTCTTCTGGGCTACAAAATAAAATTAAAATTAAACAGATCCAATACTAAATCTTTAGCAATGAAAACATGTTGATTTACAGAAATACACTAGTAAAATGTCATTTAGATAACAATACTGAGGCACCTAATTGGCTATATAAATTAATTCAATATTGACTTGCAGTTAAAGCCAATTAAAATCTGTTTTTTATTCTCAAGTGATTGAATTTAGTCTTCTTTTTTATGTACCTTCTTCACAAGGCAATTTTAATTTTTCAAAATATTCTCTAGCTTTGGCATATAAAAATATTTAAAATAATACTCTCTTGAATGTTTTTCAATCCTTTTTTGTAATTCCTTTAACAAGTGTGCCAAAATGTCTATGTACCTCATACACTAGGACATCCCCATAATGGTTAAATGATGACTGGTTTTAAAAAGGTTTAGGTTAAGAAAACTGAATATTTCATCATTGATAACTCATAATAACCTGTTCTGGTAAAGAAGTATTAATGGAAATATCAAATTTCAGCACTGGAAAAAGTACAGGCTTGGTTCCCAGCCTGCCTCTGAGTCACTATTTAGTAGAGAGACCCTAAGGAGACAGTTGAGCAGCACAGAAGACTTTTGGGTATATAGACTTGTGGATATACAGGGACAGACTTATGAGGCAATACATGCAACTGGGCTCTGCTTTAAAAGGACTTAGAAGCAGTGGGTGCAAGAAGCAGCAGCAATAGGTTTCTCAGTTTGTGTGATGAACCTCAGCAAAGCACACAACATCACTGGACAGAAGCATACAACAATTCAGAAGCTGAAAAAGGACTGGATTATGAAGGTGAAAGCTTAAGAGACTCTTGCAGGAAGAAGCAGCTGTTTACAAGCAGGAGAGAATAGGATAGTGGGGGTGAGTTGGACAAGATTTTAAGAGAAACCATGAGTTGAGGGCCCTGATCTGTGTACTGAGATGCAAGATATTTCCAGTGATTCAGTTGGGGGGGGGGGGGGCCGAGCAGAGGGGAGGGGTGTTGG